GTGGCCCAAGAAAAGTCTCAGTTCTTCAAGAGCAGCGTAGAGTATCTGGGGTTTATCGTAACCAATAAGGGCGCAAGAACGGACCCAGAAAAGGTGAAGGCGATCCAGCAATACCCGGAGCCAAACTCACTATTCGCAATCAGGTCGTTCCTTGGGCTAGCCAGCTACTATCGCTGCTTCATCAAAGATTTCGCCGCAATAGCGAAGCCGCTCTCGGACATTCTCAAGGGAGAAAACGGGTCGGTGAGCAAATACAGGTCAAAAAAGATTCCAGTCAGACTGGATGAAAAACAGCGGCACGCATTTGAAAGACTTAGAAACATTCTAGCCTCAGAAGATGTAATGCTAATGTACCCGGATTACAAGAAGCCCTTTGATCTGACAACCGATGCGTCAGCATACGGAATCGGGGCAGTTTTATCCCAAAACGGGCGTCCGATAACAATGATTTCCCGGACTCTAAAGGACAGGGAAGCAAATTACGCTACTAACGAGCGGGAGTTGCTAGCCATTGTTTGGGCTTTAGCTAAGTTTCGGCATTATCTCTATGGTGTTAGGGACATAAATATTTTCACAGACCACCAGCCACTTACGTTCGCGGTGTCTGAGGGAAATCCAAACGCCAAAATCAAGCGATGGAAGGCACGCATTGATGAGACAGGGGCTAATTTGTTTTATAAACCCGGTAAGGAGAATCACGTAGCTGATGCCCTATCACGGCAAAACATCAACGCGCTTAATAGCGCCGAGCCCGAGTCGGATGCAGCGACGATGCATAGCGAAGCATCCTTGACGTATACCATTGAGACAACTGAGAAGCCAGTAAATTGCTTCAGAAATCAGATTGTTTTGGAGGAGTCTCGTTTCCCTCTTGCGAGGAACTATATCATGTTCGGCGAAAAAACGCGCCACGTGCTCAATTTCACCAACAAAGATGATTTACTTGATTTGGTGAAACCAATAGTTAACCCAAACGTGGTAAATGCCATACACTGCGAGCTGCCGGTTCTGGCCCGGTTGCAGCATGATCTCGTGAAAAGCTTCCCCACCACAAAGTTCTGGCACTGCAAGAACTTGGTCATTGACATTCTTAACAGCGGGGAGAGACGGGATGTTCTTGCCAAAGAACACAATCGTGCTCATAGGGCAGCACAAGAAAACGTGAAACAGGTAATGACCGACTATTATTTCCCGAAAATGACAAAATTAGCAAACGAGATAGTTCTAAATTGCCGCATTTGCTCAAAGGGAAAATACGACAGGCACCCCAGGAAGCAGGAACTCGGACAGACGCCGATCCCTTCGCGAGTGGGAGAAATGTTGCACATCGACATATTCTCTACAGATCGCAAATTGTTTCTCACCTGCATTGACAAACACTCCAAGTTCGCTACGGTCCAGCACATAGTATCTCGCACCATAGAGGATCTAATACCACCCTTACTTGCGATCATGAACATTTTCCCACAGACAAAACAAATCTATTGTGACAATGAACCAGCACTTAAGTCGGAAACAATAACGACTTTACTCCTTAACAGCTATGGGGTTAAAATAGTGAACGCGCCGCCCTTACACAGTACTTCGAATGGGCAGGTTGAGCGCTTCCATAGCACTCTCGCGGAAATAGCTAGATGTCTCAAGTTGCAAAGGGGTACAAACAATACAGTCGAACTGATAATGCACGCTGTGATCGAGTACAACAAATCAATACACTCGGTCACCGGGAGAAAGCCAATAGACACTTTGCATGACAACTCGCAGGAGACCCAACAGAAGGTTAGGGAAAGGATTGAAAAGGCACAGTTGGTGCAAAACTGCAGACTTAACCAAGACAGACAGAACAGAGTTTTTGATGTTGGCGAAAGGGTGCTCGTAAAGACAAACCGGAGACTAGGGAACAAGCTCACTCCGCTTTGCACCGAGGAAAAAGTAGAAGCGGACTTGGGGACAACAGTCCTTATTAAGGGGAGGGTGGTTCACAAGGATAACCTCCGCTGACTTAGTAGTTTAGTTGTAAACTTTAAGAGAGACCGTAAATAACTAAATACGTTTCATTCCAGGTTTTACGGGACATTACTGACGATACTGGTGACAGTGACAGCACGGATGACGGACTACTCGCACACGGACTACATACCTATTTCTGACGGGAACGTACTTGTTTGGAGCGACTACGACTACTTAAGACACACGACTAATCTTTCGGAATTTGCCCGAATGATCGACGAGACCGACAAATTAACGGACATGTTTCCACAGTCCCACATGCGGAAGCTGTTGGAGGTGGATACAGGACACGTACGAGACTTGCTGTCCGCTCTAGATGTGCACCACCAGCATGCAAGAATCCTCGACTTCTTAGGAACAATACTTAAGGTAGTAGCGGGCACTCCCGACGCACAAGACCTCGAAAACATTAGACTGACTGAAGCAGAACTGATAAGATCAAACAATAGACAAATAGAGATAAATTCCAGGACTCAGACGCAGATAAATTCACTGACCAACACAGTTAATAAAATTCTTAAAACAATCAAAAACAAACAGACGGACACCGCACACTTGTATGAGACGTTGCTAACAAGAAATAGAATTCTCATTAATGAAATAGGAAATCTCATGCTAACCATCACTTTGGCAAAATCTAACATTATCAATCCAAATATACTAGACCACGCTGATCTTAAGTCGGTTCTCATGAACGAGCTCACAGGGACCACAGTTACAGACCTGTTAGACGTATCTAGTATTAAGATATTTCAATCTTCTAATATTGTTAAAATCATTATAAAATACCCTAGAATAAGTAAGTCTTGCCGAAAGATAACTATCTTCCCAGTTACGCACAACAACACCATCTTGAAGCTCTCTAACAACGTAGTAGCAGAATGCGGAAAACAGGTTCTGGCAGTAACCAACTGCAAATCAACAACTACAGCTACGTTTTGTGAACAATCGCCGAACGAGACCTGTGCCCAGGGATTACACGCAGGAAGGTTGGCTCACTGCACGACGCAGCCTAGCCATTTGGAGCCCCTTACCATAGTAGTCGACGGTATCATCATCATCAACGACCGACCGGCCACCGTAGTGTCTGATGGCGACCCGGAGATCGTCGTATCCGGGACTCAGCTGGTTACATTCGACGACTATGCGCTAATCAACGGAACGAAGTACGTGAACCGCAACAACATCCAAGAGCGGTTCCCAGGTGTCGCAGCGTCACCACTGCTGAATATCACGGGTCACAGTGATACTCTCAGTCTTCCGTACCTCCACCGCTTGAGCGAAGAGAACCTCAACCACATCAAAGAGATAAGAGACGACGTCGTGTCTGGAACTAGGTCCATGGTAGCATTCGGAGCGGGCATCGTAATTTGCGCCCTAATCTGTGGAAGCGTGGCTCTCCGCCAGTACTGCAAGAAAAGGCAGGCTTCCCTGCGAATCGACCAGATGCTGAGAACTTACCACGTGACCAGGGACGGTCAGTCTTTGGAGGGGGGAGTAGTTAACTGTGAGCGCCCAGCGGACCCGGCTGAGATAGAGTATTCCCGCGGCGTTCACGTAACCGCGGCCGAGTCAGCGTTATCAGCGGTCAGCAAGATCGCTCCAAGTCGAGGCGTCAAGTTCAACGACGTCGCCGGCCTGTGAAGCTACGTCAGCGTCCCGCAACTCTGTTGCACAACGTCCGCTGGGTAACTTAATACCCCACACGTTGTGCAAGCTGGCAGATTCTTCGCGCGGCCACCAAGAGCTAGCGTCGGCTGCGGCAGAGCCGCCGGCAACTTTAGGTTAGATATTAAGATTTCAACGATTGTACTTTTAGTTTTGTAATCGAATTCAAAAGAGGCACACGGCCCTCAATAAAGAACATTCGTACATTCTCACTTAGTTCCGCGCCTTCAACTCTGAAACGGGCGGGAACTACTTTAAATAATTAAATAATATAATTTAAATAATTTATATGTATAAATATAAGTAAAATATTGTAAAATCGAGCGGAACCTTTTCTGTCGTACAACAAATAGGTAGGAAGATCACTGCGATGATCGATTAGGGAAAATAGACAGTTCAAGAAAAAACACATACTACGTATGTTCGATAATAGCATAAGTAAATTTGATGATATATCAATTATACCCACAATCGAAACTAAATCAGTGGACTCCACTGCTAACGTAATAAATAAAATCGAATCATCTAGTACTGATCAAAGATTAACTAATATACTATTATTAATAATTGTCTTAATATTGTGTGCATATATTGTATATAAGGCATACCTTTTACACAATAAACGAGTAACGAAAAAAGCACTAAGCAGAGCAAATGATTTAGACAAGATCTGATATCATATGCCCACAGACAATTTTAACAAAAGTATATTTAAAAAAAAAAGAATATAATAAAGAAATGAATACAGAAAAATGTATACGCATTCGACTTGAAAAGGAACAAATTCTGATAAAACTATAAGATCAGTTACATTAATACACCATGCAACTATTAACAACTCAATACAACAAGATAGTAAATACAATAAACCAAGTCAATGCTAAATTGACACAGTAACATAAATAGCAATGTAAAAATATTATAAAATCTTTAAAAACAAGACTACACAATATATTGAAAAAAAGAGATTGGTCATCGACTGTAGCAAGCTGAACGAAAAAACCATACCTGAGCGTTACCCAATGCTTAGTAGTCCCATGATGCTAGATTCTCACTACCCTCGACTTAAAGTCAGGCTATCATCAAATATGCCTTGCAGAACACGATCGCGAAAAACCTCAAGAGAATTTTATCTTCGCTGTTTAGCGCTAAAATATAGTTTTAGATTTCGATAAGGGCACACACACACATAAGCACACACAGTAAAGTTAAGCCAATCGGCTGGCGACAGCTCAGTGCCTGCTGATGCTTTAATGCATGATCAGCATTATGAGCGATCGCTACTCGAAATACGATCCGTCTGAGTGGAGCGCTGGGTCAGCACTTTCAGTGACAGGGCTAGCTTATGAATAAGTATATTATGTGCTTAGACTTCAGTTGTGATTTATGCAATAAAAATTGACAGACCAAAAAATAATAACTTAAAGATGGAAGAGCGAAAACAGGGATTTTGGGAATTTTGGGAATTTATTCCCTTCATAAAGACTCTTTGCCAGGGTATTTCAGTTTCAGTTATGCGCAGTTTTTACCTCTTTAAGAATGATGTATATATATATATATACGAGATAATTCTCGTAATTGTTGCTATTGTTGCCTGTGCATTTTAGGAATGCTGCAAGCCAAAACGAATCCTGAGCTCGTCCGTTTTCTTTCTGTTGCAAAAGATTTGAAAATGCGAAATGCAGTTGGTGTTGCTGTTGTTGTTGTTGTTGTTGCTGTTGTTGTTGCTTTAGTTGTTGTTTTGATTGCTGTTGTCAACGTATCAGAAGTCCCGTGTCTGGCGACCAGCGATTCGCACGATAGTACATATCCTTGTACATGGAAGGACATGCATTTTGATTCTGTTTTCAGAAATGGAAAGAGAATTCAGAAGGAGTTAATAGTGTTAGCAATTTACAGGGTATACATAATTTAGATTGATTGATTGATGCATGAATCTATGATCTATGAACGGAGTGATTGACAGGTAAAGGAATGCTTGAGTGGCAGATTGAAGATTGACTGATGGATGCATGATTGAGTGGAGGATAGACTGACTGATGGATTGATCGAATAGTGATTGATGAGTCAGTGTGATTGATAGAGGTATGATTAGGTTGGAGTAGACTGGCATTGATTGATAGATGGATGATTAACAGGCTGAGTGAAGGACTGATTGATTGACTGGTAAATGAATGATTAACTCTATATAAATTGATTGATAGGTTGATAGAAGAATAATTGAGTGGAAGTTAGACAGACTCACAGACTGGGATACGAATGATTGACTGATAGATGACAAATAGATTGATGCTCGAATAATGATTGACAGACTGATTGATTGATAGCCTGGAATGATTGACCTTAAGTTAGACTGACTGATCGATAGACTAAATGACTGATAGACTGATAGATGTATAAGACTGACTGATAGCCTGGCAGTTGAATGATTGACAGAATGATAGACTCAGAACATCTCGGAATATAAGACTGATGATTGATAGATGTTCTGCTTGATATGTTAAACTGTTGATGAATTGACTTAAGATTGGCGGATTGATTCATTAGTGATTAGTGAGTGACTTGACGGATTGAGAAACAGTTAGTCAGACTGATTGTACACTGACTGATTGATTGTCTGATTTATTGGAGTGCTTGATTGACTGACTGATGAAGTGATGGTCTTAATTGATACTTAATTACTTAATTAATTAATAATTAATAACTACTTAACTAATTGATTGATTAACTTATGGAGATTTCTCTTGCGACTTACCTTATGACGTTTAAAATCTATGTTCGTCCTTACGGTTCTATGGTGTAAGCTTTGCACGGGTCGCGCATTATTACCTAATGGAGCTTTCGGTGTACTCTCGGAGCCTTGCATCAGTCGACGGAGTTGATATAACTGAAAGTATAGCGAGATGCAAAGATAAGGTAATGAGAACTAAGTAAGGCTCCTTTGGGAAGAAGGACATTGTGGGGCTATGGAGGGCTTCGGAGGTCGTAAGATAGTTTGAGCTTAGCATTCTCTTTTCTCAAATGGAGTAGAAAACGCATGGGAACTGAAAACGGAGATGCTTCGCAGTTCTTAGAGCTGCAGCAATGACAAATAGATCTCAAAGTGAACGAGTATTGTGCAGTCGCTCACGCCTGTCTATTCATTTTTCATATGCTTGTTAGATTTCTCTTTAATGTTGTCTCTCTCTCTCTCTCTCTTTTTGCCGCTGCGTGTTGTCTAGTTACAAGGCTTTGCCCCCTGCCGTCCGTTCTTTGTGGACGCATATGCAAATTGATTAAACTAACCAAATATTGTTTTTTAATTATGCACAGAGCATTGCATTGACCACAGCTAAACCGCGCTGCGACCGTAGCCCAATTGATGAGAAATTTTATAATTGCATTTATGCAATATTTTTTTTCCAACAATTAAAAACATTAAAAAACAAATTACAAAAATAATAAAAAATTATACAATTCGTCTCTAATTGCAATTGCAAAACGCAAATGCAATTCATTATTTGCGGTCGCTTGTGAAATGGAAGAGAGCGAAAAAAAATCAGAAGCCGAAACCGGGGCAAGGGGTAAGGGGCTAGCGGGGCAGTGGCAGGATCTTACCTCTTGTTTGGTGATATAGATGGGTTTATTAACTAGTATCCAGACCGTGCTCTCCCAGCAGCCCGGATGCGTGGTGGATCCCTCGTACGTAATGTAATGATCCGTATTCGGCAGCAGCGATCGCACCGATATGTGCCGTATGGGCGTCGAAAAGCCTATAAAATAATGTTGTGTGACTCATTAAGGAATGTATCTAAGAGAACAAGAAGTAGAAATAGTTAATGCACTGTAATTTAGCGCTGGCTCAGCTAGTGAAAAGCTTGTTCAAATTGGTCCAGATCAGCTAAAGATCCATGTTGGACTAAGCTGAGGCTTAGATCAGGTTGAGCTAATGTTGGACGTCCTCGAATCTATTGACTGGGTTATGCTAGTAAAATTCGACTGTAGTTCAGATTGGTGCAAGTTAGCTTAGGTAGGGTTAAGGTACAGCTAGGTTGGTGTAGCTGCTATTAGGCTCTGCTAGGCTAGGTCATATTAGGCTAGGTAAGGTCAAGTGAGGTCAGGTAAGTTCAGGTTAAGTTAGAAAAGGTAATGCTATGTAAAGTCATATTAAGTAAGCTCAGGTTAGGTAAGGTTACGTTAGTTATAAACTCAGTTAAGCAAGCTAATTTGCAACTAGAGGAGGCTAGTTTAGGCCCTGGTCGATAGGTGTGGTTTAGGCCAGACTCGCTGAGGTTATATGTCGTTATCTTAGGATAGTCTATCCACGACTCATCCAACGATTCCTTTGACACTCTTTATTAGCTTAACAGTTAAAATAACACCTGCATTCATTAAGCTTCAATTTGAAGCCCTTTGACTTTTACAGGGTATCAAAAGTAAAGTTCAAGGTGCATCTGACATTTAAATGGAGCGCACATTTTGCCCTGTCTCGTTCGCAATATGAATGGCAAAACGTCGACGATACGAAAAAACCTAATGAATAATTCAGACTAGCTAGCAAGGGGGTGGGACAAGCCGACAAGGGGCGTGACAGGGCAATACATTGGAGCTTATGGGCTAATGGGGTGGCGCGGGGTATGAGTTTTGAGTCTGATTTGTTGGTTGCCTTCTCGTTGGTCACTTGAACGACGGCGCTCGACTTCATTCATACAAATCATTATGCCAAGCCGGAAATGAAGCGCCTCGCGGTTTATGAGACGGCGGCAAATGGTACTAAAAAAACGACTGGCTAGAGCGTTGGGCTTGCGGCCACAGAGCTGGAAGTTAGCTGTTAGGACGGCTCTGCTCGGGTCTAAAGGCATTCCAAATAATTATTTGCAACAGAATTGTTAGTTCTTACATGACGTATCCTATGCAACGTGCAGCAACAACTGAACACTCTACCTGAATGAATATTTACATATCGATTACTATCGATAAGAAATTGAATTGACTTTCAGAGAAGATATTGAAAGGGAAAGTCAAACTTGAAGCTGGATTTGAATAGCTAACAGAGTGTATACGAAAAGGTAATTGCATGTGTTATCGATAACTCGAGGCCACGACTTCTAGGATCCATGAAATTATATATCTATATATATATATTTTTTTTCACTGGGAGTTCATAAAAATGAAACTTATTTGGCATATCGATAACTTTGTGAAACTATCGATATTAATATTTTTTCCACTTTATATGCTGTATTCAATACTATCGATAAGTTTACCAAGTGATCGATAACATGCTCCATTTCCAGTTCAACCTTCTCCAAGAGTTCTGCAAGCTACAAACTTGTTCAGAGATTCTCGTTCTCCGCTTTTGAGTGCATTTGCTATTCGTTGTTTCACGCATTTGAACTTCGTCTTTTAAGTAGTTAAACTTTCAAGTTGTTTTGCCAGTTGGTTCGCAGAAATTGGCCGCATATTTTCTGCATTCTGAGCTCGAGCGGGGCGCTAAAGGAAACTCCAGGTTTTTCTTTATTTATTTTTATTTTTTTTGCACGTTTTTCCACTTTTCATGGAGCTACATAAAGTTGTACGACCTGTAAAAAGGCTATTAAACTGGGTCGGTCTGTCGGTCGGGTTGATGGGGGGAATTATTAAGTGTCGGTTTAGTGTAATTCGAGGTTTCATTTTCGTCACTTTGCGCGGCGCGGCGCCAATTTCGCGGCCAACGGCTGTCGAGCAATTTTTATGGCTCACTTTAGGACGTTGCCGCACATAATTATGCCGCTTGTTGTTGCAGCTACACAATTGTTGCAGTTCCACTTGCAGTTAGCAAGTTGTTGCTGCTGCGGAATGACATCATAAAAGTACTAGCCGCAGAGCCATGAGCCATGAGCCATGAGCCATGGCCAACAGCCACCAGCCGAGAACTGTGAGTTGGGCAAACGTTGCAACATTTCCGGTGCATTTTGCGTAACGGAAATGATGTTGGCACGCCCCCTCAGCCAGTAGCGCCCCTGTCGGTTGGCTGATGGTGCCAGTCGAAAGTCAGTTAACAGAGGAACTCATCAAACGAACTCGACTCTAGTCCATTGATGAAGAATGCCAAAAAGCCATGCGAGGCTCGGCTAGAGATGAGTCGTGAGTTGGTCAGACGTGACACGACCGAAGGAGCAAACGAATAGACTTCTAGCTGAGCCAGAGATGTAAATGTAGTTGGAGGTGGGTCGTAGAGCGTGACACGACTGCAAATCTAAGCAGAACTAGAGATATGCATCCAAAGTCGATTGCGTTGAGATACGATCTATTTGTATTTGTATCGTGACACGAGAGATGTGTGGTTCCGGTAAATATAAGTGGACCTAATAGAGATGAGCGTGAGTCGTGACACGTAAGTCATATAGCCCCATTTGATTGCAAAGAGATTTAAAAAGACGACAAGTTGTGGAGATGATCTAGAGAAGGGAGAAACAAATCAAGTCGCGTGCAGTCTAAGTTGAGTTTGCTGCCTCGTGACACGATGCATGTATATAGTTTTCAGATGCATAGTCTCAAATATATTCACCAGCAGTAAATCGTGCCGATACTATCGGCATTGGTATCGTATAACTCACCTCTGTAGAGAACCTTGTTGAATGTGCTCGTTATGATGCGCAGCTCGGGATTGGGCGTTTCGCCAATTTGCACCATCAACGAGAGTCCGACAATGCCCTGCGATTTATGCTGCGCCTCGGACATGTTGTGGTACAGCTCCTTGTTGAAGCCATAGATTTGTATCTGCGTGTGTGTGTGTGTGTGTGTGTGTGTGTGGTATATGTTACATTATTAATATGACTGGTTAGTCTGGCCATCCTGTTGCCGTCGCTTGATTGACCTACCTCGCCCGGAAAACTGTAGCCCTGTATGTAGTGCTCGGAGCCGCGACTGTTCTCGGTGCCGTAGTGTATGTAAATCTCCTCGAATTGGTAGCGATAGGCCAACGGACCTCCGGATATGTTCACGTGCTGCTTTGTGTCCTTGTCCACGCGAAAGACGAGTGATTGACCCGTGTTGTGCAGCGTGCCGGAAACCTGTTGACGACGACAGCCAAACAGAGATAGAGGGCGACAGGGCGAGAGGGAGAGAGCAAGAGAGGGTGTCAGTGAATGTCCTTTCCGTTGTGTTTGGGGGACGCTGCTCTTACCTTGTGCTTGTCAATGTGCAGCGGTCGCAGGTATGGATCGAAGAGCAGCTTGTCGGGCACCACATCAATGGGCGACTGTCGATGTCCTTTGTTGCACATGTTCCACTGCGGATTGATGAGACCCCAGAAGCTGGGACCTGCAAAATACAAATCGCTGATTAGCAAAAACTTGATGTAAATATCATAAATATCTGTGGATTAAGTGCGGCATGCTCGACTAGCAGATGCTCAGCATTGATTCTGTAGATTGCAATTCTTGAGTATCTCCGACAAAGCTCACATATCGCAGCTGAGCTCTGTCTCTGAAATATGTACTTTAAACACTTCCATAGCACATCTGACATTAGTTGATTGTTGATGGGTATTGCAAATGGAAGGGAATAGGAGTCTTCCACAGTTGACTGACTGTTTGACTAACTGTCAATCGTGTTGTTCGAATGGGAAATGTGTCCTGTGCGTCTGTCCGTCCTTTGTAAACAACGAGACGACAATGCAAACACCAAATGAAATTTCATAAGCTTCGCTTCACTCGCTGCCTCTCGCGTCAGTTTAAATAGCAATTAAATGAACCCAATTGGGAGCTCCACTGCGTTGCATAAAAACGCAAAAAACAAAAGGGTTGCAACACTTGACCCTTCCAGCCTTCCGCCCCAACTCCCTTTGCCCTGCAGCCCTACGTTTAGCTGAGCGAGTAGCTGGCCGTTGTCTGCATTCAATTTGATGTGACGGGCACAAACTGTCGAAACTTTTCAAAACAAACCCCATGAATGGCAGCAACTAGGGTAGGCATTGCGGGCCCCAGCCAGCCATATGGAAAATTTAAATATTTTTATAGATGGACCATGCCATGTGTGGCCTGCCGCTGACCGAATACGCTGCTAACCCATGATTCCCATACGACATAGCACTCAGATAGTGGATATAGTGCAAGTCGGTTCTTTAGATATTGCTTTCATATATGCACTTTGACAACAAGCTGTATTCACATAACGCTTTGATATGCAAAGCGAGTATATTGGCTTTGTGATGTGTTCCTTTTGCTGTCCGTCCGTCTGTCTATATGAAAGCTTTGAGAAGTATATTTAGAATGCATATATATATGCCTCAGCGGGTCAGGTGGAAGAGAAAGTTATGGATTCCGAGGTCTTAGAGCTGAAAACACTGCTGACTCCACAGATAGATCTCTGATATGGTAGACTACTATTTTCTATACTCTATATCTATAGATATTCTATTCTATCAAAGTTAATCTCTGATAGGTTTATTTTTCAGCGCCGGTGGAGCAACAATGTCAAGAGTGCTCAATGGATCAAGCGCAACAGAAATCTGTGCAGAGCGCTAAGTAGCTGCAGTGAAGGTGGGTGTGTCTATGCACGCACACTCACACACACACACACACACACACACATACACACACTCCCCCTTTATTTGCAGGTCAATGTTAGTGCAACATTTGTGGCAAGCGTTACTCATGCCACAGGCAGCTGCTGCTCATTTTCTGTTTGCATTCACTCACCCACTCACTCACCCACTCACTTACCCACTCACTCATTCATTTATTCACTTATTCATTCGTTTTTGTTGCCCGCGTTTTGTTTAATTTTTTGCTTTGTCTGTCGCCTGGCGCTCAGCCTCCGCCTCAGCCTGAGCCTGAGCCTGGGGCTCTACCACTGCTGTTGCATAAATAAAACTGCGTCCTGTTGCAAGCTGCCGCCGTGTGGCATAATAACAAAAATGGCCGCTGACCAGCTACAATTCCGCACACAGTTGTATTATACGCAAATATGTTTTCGCTTATTTCATTTATTTTGCTCACTTTCATTTGGAAATTTATCCAATTTACTTGCATCAAATGACAATTTTAGACACGTATTCCTAGCTCTAGCTCTAGCTCTATCTCACTTCACTCATCTTTCATCTGTAGTTGCAACTTTCACGTCTTTTATCGCTTGACACACCAAGAGTGTTACCATTTTCGATAACTATATTTCAGTCGCTGCTTCAGTTATCGATAACATTTGACATTTGTAGCATTCAGTCAGATTGGCCATTTGATTATTTGTGATACTTTTTCTATTCATATCTATAATTCCTATGCTATGGTCGTATGAGCCAACTGCTTGGTGAAAGACTTTCTACTTTTTGTATTTAGATGGGCAGCATCTTTAGTCTGATGCGATCATAATCAAGATCGCTTTTTTTTTTTTCTATTCTTATTTCCTGCTCTTTTTTCTCTTTCTTGTATCATCTTTTCAGTCTGAGTCTCTAGTCATGTCAGAGACCACAAATCTTCGTTTCTGTTTACTTGGTCACGTTCCCTGCTTCGTATCTCTTTTTGCTCTTTCCTTATATCGAATTTCTCTCTGTGTATTTGCTTTTAACAGTATCCTTCACTCGCTCGTCCTCCTGCTTGTTCTGTTTCCTGTGACATCTTTACTTTTTCTCTCTTTCCATCTTTTTCCTATCACTTGACCTTCTCATATCTATTTCTTTCTTCTTGTTTTGTTCTTTGTGCTTGCTTTATCATTTTTCCGGCTTCTTCCCTCCTTTTACTTTTGGCTTTTCTCTGTTGCTATGCTTTCGTATACCCTATTTCCAATCTCTCGAACTCTTTGCCTTGCTAAGTCTTTATCTTGCTTCTCTTTTGAACTTGATTTCGATCTCATTTCTCTCTGTGTATTTACTTGCATTCCAGCTCTAGCTCGACTTTCATCCCTGGCCTCTTGATCTACTTCCTTCTCTTTCCTACCTCACTTTTCCTGACTTTAACTCACTTGCTTTACTTTCTCATACCCATTTTCTCTCTGTGTATTTAGATTCCAGCTCCATTTATTGAATCTATCTTTGGCTTCTTCATTTTTGATCTACTGACTTCTCCTTCCCTGCTCACTTGCCAGGCCTTTACCTCCCTTGCCTTACTTGCTTATACCCAATTTCTCGCTGTGTATATATACATATTCGGTAATTTTCAGCACTAGCTCACATTGCATTCCATAATTGAATTCATTTACATTTGAAATGCTGTAACTTCATCTGTAGTCGATATTTATTTGCCTGATTGAGTGCAGCGCGTATTTGGCCTTCGTTAGATTTGTTAACGAGTGAATGCATCGAGTGCTATTCACTCTGTCTGGCAAGTGTTTAAATTCAATTGAGATACATAAGCTCGCATGGGAGTACAGAGCTGCGCAACTTACCCGATATGCCATCGTACGTCCACCATTCCTCCCAGCTGGACAGGACCTCTGAAAGGAAGAGAAGTTCATATGAGACAAAAAAAACGGGAAATGCATTAATGTGCCAGGGCTTTAAGCCAGCGTAAGACGAGTCTGGGAAACAATCAGAAAAGTACCTTGACAGAATTTGTCTAGCTAAGTCAGCCCCTTCAAGAAGACCCCAGCCACCCGCTCTAGCCTGTGTCAATGACACCCGGATATAGTAACTAGGCTGTCAGGGCATAGACCCCGTTTACCGCGGATCGAGAGGGAAGGGGAGCGAGATGGATGGCAGTTGGCAGCCAAATCTTTGGCTTTTCAATGCGCATAATTCGCTGCCAATGTAAACAGCGCATGAAATCAACTAATGTAGGACTTCCCACTGATGCCTGATGGCGTAGACAAACCGAACGTTAGTGCAAGAAATGAGGCAGACAAAACAAACAAAGCAGTGGCAGTCGCAGTGGCAGTGTCAGTGGCGCCTCTCTCAGCGCTTCTCACTGGCAGCCAACGCGACGCCAGTGCGCCCCAGGCATGTCTGGGGGCTTCCTTTCGCCAAATGCGTGTCGCATGAGTCAACATGGTTCAACATGCTGCTATTTCTGGATATACATATATACATATATATATATATATATATATATACAAATCTATATATGGCAACTGGCTTCCATTGGCATCGCCATAGCCATCGCCATCGCCAGCTTTCTGTCTACCTCCAATTCGGGCAAATGTTGTCGCCAGTCGGTCGGGCGCCAATAAAGTTTACACTCAGTTGCCACATTTCGTTTATGGGCAAGTTCTGCTTCCGCTTTATCAAGCGACAGACAATTTTCGCTATTTTTCTTTCGGACCATCCCCAGAACCAATCTCAATCTCCACCCCTCTCGGCCTGCCGCTTTGAGCGTATTCAAAATTTATGCTATATGCGTCGTGCCGCAGCGGGTAGCATACACAGAGCCAGTGCGGCGGCTGTGGGGCAGGATGTAAAGTCTGCTCGAAGATGAAGCGAGACAGGCAGAGACAGAGACAGAGAGAGAGAGAGGCGAGCGGGCGAGGGACACTCTGCATGGGGAAGGGGGCAATAAAGCCAAAAGAAATTGCTGCAAGCCAAAACGGAAGTTGAGCAAGGGAGTCGCTGGCATTGCTGCTGCTGCTGCTGCTGCTGCTGCTTCCTGCAGCTACCAACTATAGCGTTATGCTATGTCTTCTTTTCAATATACCCTTACGCAGTCTGGGCACTTTAACTAATTGAATAGAGAAAGAGAGAGAGAACGAAAGAGGCAGGGACGTAGGGAGGGAGGGAGTTAGGGCGAAGTTGTCCTTCTTAAACTAGTGCTTTAGGCTTTGTGAATAAACATATCGATACTGTCTGAGGACAGCTAATAGATTAACTAACTATAACAAAGAGAATTCTTCCAAGCATTATCAGATGCTTGCTAATGCATCTCTCGATAGGCATCTCTCTAAGGGCATACAAGGAAAACGCTTTCTTCCCATAGACTACTGCACAGTAGGCACTTCCACTGGCCATTTTATATCAGGTACTTCCCGTAGGCCACTTTCCAAAGGGCATTTGCCAGAGACAACTTTCCAAAATGATACTTTCATAGGTTCAGTTCATACGGCCTTCCCATAGGCCACTTTATTAGGCTACCTTCATAGAGAACTTTCCGGATAAAACTTCCGTAGGGCCCTCTACGATACCATGGGGTACTTTCATCAGCTCGTAAGCTATAACCACCCACCCATAGTGCCTAGACCTGACAAAGCCCCTCAGGGTTAGGGATCCCCCAGTGAGTTAGGGATCCTAAGCAGCTTTAGAGATAGAAGCTAAAAATCCCATCAATTTATATAGACGAGCTTACACTCGGTTGATAGGATCTGGCTGACGATAGAGTATCTACTATCTGCGCTTTTCAGCCATAAGACAGTAAGATTGTTTGAATTGTGGGCGCAGATAGCGCCGAGGCTCGGCGGCACAGGCATTTGGTGCGCGGGCAGGGACGGGTATTGTCGTGTTGCTTTTCTTAAAATAACAATGAACGTCCGTTTGGTTGAATACGCGAATTCGTGAAACGCGACTTGCCGTCACTTCATTTTGTTTGTTTGTCGCGTATTTTGTGGGATAGTTGTTTCGCAGCTCGAAGCACTTCCTCTGGCTCGACTTGACGCTGGCTGCCGCGGCGCCTGCTTAGCGCTGTAAAGTATGCTATTAAATTGGCCTCGCAAACGAAGCCAAACCGAAAAATGGCACAAAGCCTTCAATAAAAAACATTTGAGAATGTTTTACGGCATTTTGCAAAGGGTCGCTGGTTGCTTGCTTTTTTCTATTTTTATTCCTTAGCAACGAACACTTCTGCAGCCCTACAAGGGCACTCGCTCTATGGACACCCCTCGACACGGCTCGGCGTGGAGCGATTCGCCCTTTTCTCCGCCGCCAGTTCGTATTTCTCAAAGTCTCTAGCCGATTCGTTTCATCTGTCGTGATGATTCGTCAACAGATTGCACATATTCAGCGGGTGTTTTTGTACCCTGGCAGTGAGCGAGTTTGGGGTATATTGGTTCTGTGTGAGTGCGGTAACAGGCAGGGGAAGGCAGGTCTTATAAAGTATATATATATATTATATATATATAAAGTTGATATAGTAATATTCGCCCGTACGTCCTCCGTTTGTCCGTCTGTTCGTCTGTCCGTCCGTCCGTTTGTCCGTCCCCTGACCGCAACTAAAGTCTTGAGAGCTTCTAGAATACCTCTGCTCTACGCCGGCGTATCTCCTCGTCGTATCTCCTCCAGCGTATCTCCTCGTCGAGCAACGCTCAGCTTGATTTCCTTTGATAGAGGGAGCTACTAGCTTCTCTGACTTTCAACTTGCCCCCATTAAGCCATTTGGCAATTTGGGTTTTTATGCTGCAACAGCAACTTAATTTATTGTTATAACAGTTTTGTCGGCTCACATTCCAGTCGAATGTTGGCATTGGGGGTGCTGGTGGTGCTATGTAGTGGGGGCTTTCCCTCATTGCCCTTTTATTCTATCTATCAATTCGTTGGCTGGACCGCGTGTCGCCAATTTGGTTGTGAATGCTTTATGAAGAGATTTGCCAGAGTTTCATTATCTATTCAAATGGTGATCGTCGGGTATACATTTCCTTTATCTCCTTGCTGTGAATTCACAAGTTTTAAAGCTTTCGCCTTGTTGTTGCCTAATTGAGGTTACGCATTGGCTTTACCACTTTTAGCGTTTACTAAACTCAAATCGCTTTCAGTCATTCAACTGGACTTCGGCCCTAACTATCTGACTATAGTTCGGCTATTTTCTGACATGAATTCGATAAGAGCTTGACTTGACTTGATTTCTCAATTAGTATTCCTTTATTTGGATAGCACTTTTTTCGCTCAGACCATTGTCAAATGCAGCTCAAACTTAAACTTGGCTTAAGTCTTTGAGTCTTAGCTGCCAGAGTTTGCAAAAGAATTTCAGCTTTTTACAATTTAATTTGAAAAATTCAAATTTTAAATTTCGCTTTCATTTGTTTAGTTCATGTCTGAGGTCCGACCTACCGCATAAACTTAATATGTTAAGTAAATCATTGTTTCCCGGCCGCCTTTGGCCTGGAACATGCTCAAAATCTTTTGTTTGTGTTGGACAAGCAAAAACTTTCTAATAATTCCAAATCTGTTTCTGCGGCTTTCAATCCCAAAGGCAATAAAAAAGGCGCGCTGCAGTTGAGTGTCACCGACTGTCCAATGCTTGTTCAGGGTCATAAAGAAAACACTTCAGTTTGATCAGCATTCAGTTTTTTATATGATTGATAAGTCTAAAGCCCCCAGGAGGCGACTTTATGCTAGATGTCGTTAGAGAAGTAATCAGTGGCTTTAAATTTCCCAGGCTCTAAACGAGTATGTATTCCCAGCTCTAATAGCAACTGAAATCATATCATTTATGTTTGAGAAAGTTCTAATATTTCACGCTTTGGAATGGAGTCATAAGTATTGTTTGGATTGAAAGCTGATTGAACTGACTGACTGACTCAGTCTATTATTGATTGATGAGCCGTCTCATGACCCTAAATCAGACAGAAGCACGCGCAGCAGCACGAAATATGCTGAGCAGCCAATATACTCTCTTCGCACTTTGTGGACGAGCAGAAGCACACAAAAACAGAGCCAATAAACAAAAGTTTTCGGCTTATATCTATATATGCATATGCGTGCCTGTGTGTGTGTGTGTGGGCGTGTATTATTTTGGGAATGCTGGCCCAACTCCTTATCGATAACAAGCGATGACTAAATTAAGCTGTTGTTGCCATTGTTATTGTTGTTGTAATTAAGAACGTTAAATCAAAATCAAAATAGAGCGCGACGCAAAGCAGCGCAAAGGGCGAACTCTGAAGCATTGTTATGTGCTCCTTGATATGTTGCTTGCTGAAGCCGAAGTGCCTTTGAGAGGACAACAAGAACAAAAGTCACGCGCACTATAGAAGTTGACGTAAGTGTGTGTGTGTGTGCGTGTGTGTGTGTGTGTGTGGGTGCTTATAATGGCGTTGCGCATCAAAAGACAAAAGACAACACGCCCTGCTAACTAATTCAAGTTCAGGTGCGGACTTCAGTTGAAAGCGGGGCCCAACGGGGCGGTTAGTCTAGTGTCTAGTGTTGCAAAGTGTTGTAAAGTCTGCTAAATACATTGAGCTATAATGAATTGAATTTAGACCTAGATTTGATATTGGCGTTGAGTCTACTTGCTGCTTAAAAAAGTTCGATTTTGATAACACACTAAAGTGCTATGTGTAGATCAGTGTATTCACTACAGACTTAGATTATATATATATATTAATAAATTCACCAGCTCAAAATATTTTAAATTATTTATTTTTATTCTCTAAAGAGAATTTATTGTTAGCTAAATATTTTATATATATATATATACCTCTACAGAGAGCGCCCCAGTCAATGCGGCCCAAGTGCCAAATACGCTCCTGCTTAATTTAATTTGAAATGAATGCAATACACGCGACCAGAAACAAAAGTT